GTCCACGAGTCAGCTGTGAGTTACTGATGGCTCCCGGGAATACGATCGACTGGTTTAGAATATTCAATAGTTGCGAATAAATAATTACTAATGCTTAAAAGAAGTTCTAATATTCATAATGACTAATAATAAGTAATGCTATAGTGATGAGAATTTTAGAAGAGTCATCCTTGACGATATGAGTCAGAGGAAGGAGGGTCGGAGGAAAGAGAACATGCAGGGCTAAATCATCTTAACCATTATTCCATTTGTGTTCCTCCACTCCTTCTCACATTAACCCATTTACAAAGGTGACATACTATGTTCACGCCCCTCCCCCTTACTCACGGGAGCCGGGTCTTCATTTTCTGTAATAGGGAAGACCGAGATCCATCAAAACCCGGATCGTTTTTCTGCCTGACGGTAGTCTCACCGAAGCAGAGTTCTGAATGGCGGTTCATAACATTCCAAGGCTTTCCCCTCCTGGAACATGCACTCACAAACAGGTCAATCGCATTCGAGTACCTTACGAACTGCGTAATCCGAGAGAGGGTGACCGAGAGAATGAGACTCGCATCGGAGCGCGTTAGATATGCCTTTTTCAGATGATTCTCAGGCCTTCCGTCAATGACGCTAACCCGCACACCCCAAATGATTCATTAAGCCAGGGATGATGGAAATAGGGAGAGCGCAAGGGGCAGCCGATGAACAAAGGGAGAACAGAACAGCTCCGACTGTCGACTTTCTGGCTCGTCTAGGAGCTTCCGTTTCCTCTTCAGTCTGGCGTCTGTAAGAACAAGCCGGTTTCGATTCCATTCGCGATTCATTCGTGATGGCACAACTGCGAGAGGGAGAGATGTGAAGAGGAACTTGCACATTAATGCAAGACCGAATGGAAATTTCGGTTTGTTAGCTCGTCAGGTTAAGGTCGTCCTTTTCGTGTACTTTTTCACCACCAAACAATGGAGTCAAGTCTCACACGAGTTGCGTTTGCTGAATTTTTGGATGAATTAAGTGCTATCATCGTAATGAGTTCATTCCAATGAGTTCATTTTTGTGTTGGACAATGCTCAGGCGCACAAAAGGGTCATTCCTCTATACCCAACACACTCCATTCGATTCTATGGGGGATGAGGGATTTCTGAAACCAATTTGGGGAAGCTTAAGTGCAATAGCGGGAAGTTTCGTCTTCACCTCTGCCTATCCACGCAACGTCCGGGGTCACCGATAAGGAGTCAACCGTCAGCATCCAAGGAAGACTCCTACGATATATCAATGCTGAATGAAAAAACATATGTGAAGAGTCGATTCGCAACGCGAATACGGATGCCTCATGCAGACATGCATACGAGCATTCTTTCGATACGTCGCTACGGCGTCGGCCAGAAATTCCATTCATGAATGAAGGCATTTCGCTTTTCTGTCTTGTGCCATCTGGATTTTTACTTATCCTCGGGGTATGATTTGGCCTCGTAGTCTCTTGATTTCTCTGTCTAGACTGTAGGAAGGAGTAACGAGACACAACTGCTTGCACGCGCCGCTCCTCGTCCTGTTCTAGCCATCTGGATTTTTACTTATCCTCGGGGTATGATTTGGCCTCGTAGTCTCTTGATTTCTCTGTCTAGACTGTAGGAAGGAGTAACGAGACACAACTGCTTGCACGCGCCGCTCCTCGTCCTGTTCTCCATTCATTTCATTCGCCCCGGTGTGCTCCTCCGGGCATGCAGGTTGCCTGAATGGCAGGAATGCCTGGGAATAACCTGAAAAAGGTATATTACAAGGACGGGAATATCAAGAATACACGTGTGGTGGCACGGGACTCGAAGGGGGGCTAGCCGCTAGGCCTACACAAAAATGATAGGGTTAGAAAGCAAGAGTGGAAGGGAGACTTGACGGATGACAATGGCGTTAGCATATAATGCAAGAGTCTCTTCGTAGATAAGAGGCCCCACAACCAATGAATAAAGTTCACGGAAGGAGTGAATCTCCTTTAGAAAGGTCTCCAAAAGATTTCTTGCCGAGAAAATGCATGCTGATTGCGTCACGCATCCTGCTCCAGTTTCTGAGGTCTCCATAAAAAGCCTGTAAATAATGCAATATGAAAATTAAGAGTCATGGTAGGCTACAGTGCCAATAAGCTAGCTACCAACAAGTGCTTCTCGGTTAGCTGTATGCATCTTCTCGGCACAGTATGCTTGCCATGTCTTTCTTGTCCTAGGGTGAATTACATTTTTAACATCAAAATACAGTTCTCCGTCCCGATCATCGCACAGAAGAAAGAATAAGTTACATTACTGAAAATGACCTATTATATATGTATGTGTGCACCTAACGAAGGAATACCAGGCTATGTGTATCCTACGATTTGATAGGCATAATAGCAGAGTGACATATATATTGTCAAGACACATAGGCTTAGCTGCGAACAGGTAAATCTATCTATATGGCGGAATAAGCAGAAGGCTCAGTTGATGGGTCCTTATTCTACAGAGCATTTAATTTAAATTGTACATCTTTGAACGCTCATATCTCTGAGAAGATGCAAACAATCATGATGAAAATTGACCACAATATAGAATAACTTTTGCCAAAATTTTCCACATAGTTTTTTAAATCGCAGTGGTCTCTATCAGGTTGAAAAACTGAATCTTCCAAAACCTCTGAAATCAAGATCTGATCAATTTGGTAAAATATTTTAAAGCTCATCATTCATTAGATTATGCCTTGATCCAGTAGCACTGAAAGTTTCATGATTTTATCCCATCTCCTTACTGAGATATCAATCGTCAAACCTTAGCCACTTAAAAGCATTTTTGGTAATTCCACGCCAAATCGACTAGCGAGTGAGATCGACCATCTCGGATTTCGACGAAAATCGGTTTACACATAGAGGAATCGATTTAAAGAATATCATTTTAACCAATGTTTTATATCTCGCACAGATCTCCAGATGCATGCATTTTAATTTGACCTAATTTTCGCTCCCAGCGCTCATACGGACTGAAATTGTGAAACTGTTTCTGCAATAACTTCCCCTCTATTCAAGATATAAGCTTCATTCTGGTGTCATTTTAATTGTGAGGTTTCCATTCACTGCATCCTAACCATCCAACTTTGAAATAAATAATACCCGTCATTGGTTCGGCGTAGCCCTATATGAAAAAGGCCTGGACAACTTGACATGTTCTGGATGGTTCTCACGTCCGCATCGCGTGGAGATGGGTGGTCAGTACGAAGTATAGGATGCCAGGTACGCCATTTCACGCGCACGACTAATAAGCCTGTCTACGCGGCCGGGAGCAGCCGCTCTCCTCCAGTCTACTATGGTTCCGTGACACGCCAAGACTGGAAGGGAAGTGGATGTTTTCGTGGAAGACGGACCTAGGCGGGGTGCGCGTCTTCCACGAAAGCTAAAAAGCTGCGCGTGCGCATTGTGTTGTGTTGTCCAGTCGCTATGGTTACTGAGGACAGACGGAATTTCAAAAAAATACTTACAAACCGACCGCAGTATCTGCCATTTCCCCATAGTACCTATAGGAATACCAGATAAAAACATCTGTGAAAAGTCAATTCGCAACGTGAATGCGGATGCCTCATGCGGACATGCATACCAGCATTCTTTTCAATACGACAATATGGCGTCGGCCAGAAATCCCATTCGCGAATGAGGGCATTTTGCTTTTCGGTTTCCTGCCGTCAGGATTTTCACTTATCCTCAGGTTAGGATTTGACCTCGTAGCCTCTCTCGATTTCTCTGTCTAGACGGAAGGTGAAACGAAGACACAACGGCTTACACTCGCCCCTCCTTGTCCGGTTCACCATTCATTCATGAGCCCCTGCGTGATTCTTCCGGCATACAGGTTGCCTGAATGTCAGGTAAGCCAGAGAATCACCTGAAAAAGGTGATGGTTTCTGTAGTATAACGTTAACTTGATTAAAAGCACTTCTATTGAGAATAATGCAATACTGAGCGACAAAGGCCAACTCACAAAACAAGTAGTGTCGGGAAAAAAATGTTTAAAGCTGGTTTATCTGGAGTTGAATCAACATACTTTCATCTCTGGAGGAACGATAAAGGAATATAGAGAGGGGGATTAACCAATGTACGCTTCGAAATCAAGGAAGTAAAAGAACAGTCCACTTTCACAGCATGTACTGTACATGATTGGATCCAGCCGAAGACTGAAACGGAAGAGAAAAAATATAGCCAGTCCCAGTATTTCCAGAATTTGATCGTGATAAGTAATAGGAAGCCCATGCGGGTCACGCCGCCTCTTCCTTCCCTTCCCTCACCCCCCCCCCCAAAAAAAAAAAAAAAATTTTTACATGTGATGGCATTTCGCATGGCCTCAGCGTTCATCATGAATTTCTTCAGGTTTGGATGGAAAGTGCTGACGGTAGTTATACCGAAAGGAGCTGTGGACGATGCGATGCGATTTTTTTTCTTCAAATTCAAGTCTTACGAAAAAGTATGTTGAAATTAATTGTCAAGAAAGCAGTTAGCAGAAAAGCTAACAAGCAACATTTCTTAAGTCTTGTGAACATCACATAAAGCTGAATAAGTTGTTCCGAATCCCATAGATTTTTGCCGTTTTGCCGTACAATTTCCAGAATGGTTTTCTTTTAAATGTAGTTTTTTTTTCCCCGAACATAACCGTTAAAATGAAGAATGCAAAAACGGTGCTTCTGTGTTTAAAACTCGGAAGTCGATGACGACTTAGTGCATAACCGCTGAGATAGAGCTCTACAATACTGACATGTCAGAAGCACTCAAGGGGATAGCCCCTCCCCCCCTTCCTCCCCCTTCAACCCTTTCCTTTCAAACGTTTTTTTTTCCAGGAGTCACAAAGAGGGGCCAAAGAAAAAGAAACACTGCTCCAGCTGTAAAATCCGAACGCGATCGATCCAACTCGACTTGACCTTCGATCCACTATCGCATGGATGTGCAGACCTTCAAAGCTTGGTGCATCGCTATTTATAATTTGACTCACGACGTCCATTTGCCTCGGTGCTCGTGTGCATCAGGAGACGGAGCAAAGGAACGATGATGCGATGGGGGCACCCACCTGGCATTCGTAGGTCCCTGCGTCCTTGGGTTGCACGTATTTAATCTGCAGCGTCCACGTCCCGAGGCTCTCGTTGTGGTGAGCGATGAACCGATCGTCCGACGTGTACCTCGTCCGGCCCGACGTCAGGATCGTGAAGTCCCCCTGCCTGATCCACGTCAGCTGCAACGCAGAAAACAAACACCGTCGCGATCGTCGAGACAAAAAAAAAAGAGAGTGAGAGAGACGAATCCACCCGCACCGTATCCTGCCCGAGGTCGGTGATCTTGCAGGGAAGGAAGGCGTTCCACGTGGCTTGCGCCGACACGTTCGACATGGAATTGTTCCTGAAGGCGGCGTGGTACGACGCGTCGTGTCCCTCCCACGTCGCGTCGTAGTCCAACAGTCCACCCCCGACTCCATCTGATCATCCGAATCCTTCTGTCATCCCTTCCCATTCCTTTCATTCACACTCGCAGACGAGACCGTTTCGCGATTTGGAAATGGTCGAAGCCAGAGGGGAGCTCGAAAGACTTCTCATAGCACTAGTCGACCGAGAGGAGGAAGGAGAACTTTCCTCGTTGTGTTCATCGATTTCTGGAAAGAACTTGCTCCGGAGGGAACATTTTAAATATTATTTATTATTTTATTTATAAGATTGATCGCGTTTCACAAGTCACGCGACGTTTGCATCTTCTAACGTCGCTGCATGACGTAATACGTCGATAGCCTATTTAGGGAAAGAGTCAAAGTCAGAAGAAATTTCCCTGTTTCCTCTTGGCGGACACGACCGCTGCACCGCTCTTCGCCGTCGGTGGTCAAAATTAATACCTGATAATTGCAAATGCGATTTCTCTTTTATGCTCCAGCGATATTCTTCTACTACTGACTTCAGGGAATACTATAAAAAAAGTTTAGATGGCATATAATGCAGCTCGATCTCGTGCCTATAGACCAAAGTGATCGAACTGCACTATGAAAATGCAAAAAAAATTTGAAAGACGAAGACGTGAAAGGGACTGACAGGGGCAGAAGAAGAAATAGGCGAGAAGGGCCAGAAGAACTGGTTCCGGTTTCAGCCCCACGTCAGGACTCATTCTGCATCGATCAATCCATTCTCGGGACAGGACTCCGAGGATCTGTTGAGAGAGATCGACGAATACGAACGGGTGAGAAACGATCCGTTTTTCTGGTTTTCGGCGCATAAAAATGTCCTGAAATCTCCCCTAGAAGATCGTCAGAAACGCCCCACGTCGCGGAGGAACAGAGGAAACCGCGGAAAAGGCCTCGGTGTCACGCCTAAATCGTATCCAATCGACGAGGAAAACCGTGGAGGAACTTCTCGCGGTCTCTTCTGACGGTAGAACCGAGAAGGATTCTCGATGTCCGTGGGTGCCAGATGCGCAACGTAACGGTCAAACAACATAAGAATCATTATGAGAAATTTGCATCTTTCACTTCTAATCCCCTCCCCCCCGCCCCCGGTTTTCTTGTCTCGAGTGCAAATACTGTATAAGAGTTAGAATGAAATTTCGTAGTTTCCCCTGGGAAACGGATGCTCCGAAATTCCTTCTGATCTCTGTGGATTACGTGCAACGTGCACGGAATCCACTCGTTTCGACTCGGTATCGATCGCCTGTGGCTTTCGTCGGATGTGGCTTTCGGTCCGTGGCACTTCTCGGGAATGGGCCATGGGATCGACGAGGCCGATGACGACTGCACATCGATCAACCGATTACGGTTAATGACCCAGAAGCCATACGATAATAGAAGATGGACACGATCTCATCCCGTAAGTTCTTTAACCCTTTTGGCTTCGTCTCGTCTTCGTCTTTTCTGGGATCGAGGACGTGACCTGTTGAGCGCGCGGTCGAGATCGAGGCCTCTTCTACCCGAATGCATATTATTTATATGAAATGAATGAATATTATTTTTCGAGTAACGTTTTCTTTATCGCGCACGGAATCAACTTTTGAGATTCGTTACGCCAACATTCGCCACCTTTTTTTATTATTATTATCGGAGGATTAAGAAGGCATTGCGTACTACTTGTCGACTAAATAGCACTCATCCGGCTGCAAATCGCGAGAAACGTCAGCGGGAAACCGATTGGGGTCATCACCACCCGGGGGAATTCCGAGGGAAATCCCTCCGTCTTTCCGAATTGGTTTTCTCCGGAAACGCGACGAGGAAACCCCCTGCCCCCCCCCCCCC